TCCTGGAGCAGCCTATGTCTGTGGAGGGTGGGAGCTGCTCTGGTGGGGGCTGAGAACCCATAGCCAAGCCCAGTGCAGAGCTGGGGACTGCTCCTGATGGAGTGGTCCCCATCTCAGGTCCTACTTAGTCCATTAACCGAACGCTTAACAGGTTAACTGATTAACTGGAATTTTACATCCCTGCTGGATACCCATTAAGTTGCAAGAACTTGACCTAACCTTACTAATATCTCACTGGTGATCTGACCTGCTGTAAGGAAGACCAAAAAAAAAAAAAAATCATCCAGGCCCAGCCAATCTGCCAGTGAGTATAAAATTACTTCTCAGTCCAAAAAGAAAAAGGGATCTAGTGCAGTGTCCATAGCTGATCATAAAATCAGACCTATTCTGATCCTGTGGGTGGGGAGGGTACGTGCTGCTGGTCCATGATCAGAGAGATACTGTCTGGAAAGAACCATCTATTCTATAAATACTCTCCCTCCTACAGCATGTAAGATGGTTGGTGTCCCACCAGAGCCAGCCTCATCTCTGTGCCTTTGACTCCAGTAGCTGTCCTCCTTGCATCACCTTGTAATCAGAGGGGAGAACCTTAAAGGAGCCCCAAGCCCTTTTTTTCCCTTGATGGCAGGACAAAGCTCACCAGCATTTGGGTGGAGGTGAAAGCAGTTTCTGTGGGTGCAGATTGCATCAGTACTAAAGGAGGCTGTCCTTTAGAAAAATTTGGCCCTTAGAATTTGCATTGCTCCTGTAAATCACTGTTTTTTGTCTTGCTGTGTTACCACAGAACATCGATGAAACACAAAATACACAATCCATTTCACCTTTGTTTTGTTCAGCAGCGTTGTCATTGTGCTGGAGAATTAGGTTGAATGATACAAGTGTAACTCCCAAGGAGATTACTTGGATTCCCGGGGCCTTGTCTGCTGGCAACTCAGGGAGAGGCACTCTGAGTTTGCCTTGGCTTCCCCTCCCTACCAGGGCCAGAGTCTGCCTGGCAATCCATGAGATTCATGAGCAGCTATGTGAGGTAGAAACTGTTAGAGAGGGAGAATCTGAGCCTCCTCTAGCTCAAATACTTAACCCTGAAGCTGCACCCTTTGTACCCCCTCAGTCAACAATACAGCATGAAGAGGCAAGTGGTTTACCAGCTAGGATGGTTCCACCTGTAGAGGATGTGGGAGAAGCCATGCAACCTGCAGAGAGGGAAATCATTGATTGTCCTGCAGTCATTACTGCTGAGAACCCTGAGAATGAAGAAGCTCCTGTACTTCGACGTTCAGAACGAGAGCGAAAACCTGTACAGAAACTCACCTATGATGTCCCAGGGTCCTCCACCTCTGTCCCTCTGCATTTAGTAAATAGATGGGTGCGGGTGGCCTATTATTGTTTGTGTCTGATAGTTAACAATGGAGACTCCAAGGTTAAGTCATTTATTTAAATATAGTAAGAATGTTATTAATGTAAATTGAATAACAATTTAATGTTTAAATTAATATTGTATGTGGACACAGCAATACTTACTTATTGGCTAATGATATTTATTGTCAACTAAACAATGTATACTATTACCTGATGGAAAGGACCTTGCATGTTTGTGTTGTGGTTAAATGACCCTTGCCGAGGACGGCAAGAACTTTCGCACAGGGAGAGTGTAACCCCCAAGGAGATTGCTTGGATTCCCGGGGCTTTGTCTGCTGGCAGCTCAGGGAGAGGCTCTGAGTTTGCCTTGGCTCCCCCTCCCTACCAGGGCCAGAGTCTGCCCGGCAACCCACAGGGAGTGAGATGCCCCTCCCAGGGGGAAGGAGAGACCATTGTTGAGGGGAGTCTGGAGCCAGCCAGGGAAAGGGGAGGACTGAGTGTGTGGGAGCTAGTAAGCCCCAGGCCTGCATGCAGGGTTCCCCCTGAGAGCTAGCCTCTAGGGACCTGAAGGCAGGATCCCTCAGCTGGGTTTATGTCTCCACTGTTGATTCCCAGTTGTGGAGTTTGCTGGGAGGCTTCCCCAGCCAGGCGGAGTTGGCTCTCCAGCTCCCTGGGTGAGAGAGTCACTGCATGGTCAGCTGGGCTCTAGCAGCAAGTTCAGGGCTGCTGCCTGCTGTGTGGGTCTGGAGGCTGGCCTGGGAGGCTATAGTTTTTAATTTTGGTGCAGTTGTGTGGTCTGCATCTTGAGCCCTGCACCCCTTCGCGGTGAGGGGAAATTCTGGGACCGAAGCAGCCTGGTTCCTGCTTGAAGAGGACCCCTGTGAGAAGAGAGCAGCCCCTTTGTGGAGACTGAGTCATCTCTCAACCTGAGGCTCATTCATGGAGTGTGTGAGTGCACCAATTTTTAGTTAGTAAGTCAGGGAATTTGTTTGGGGATTTTATTACCTGCAGCCTATTAAACTGTGGAGGGATTTGCTGCCTTCTCCCATTTGTGAGTCCTTTGGGCTGTACTGGACCTAGTCAGCCCCACTGCTAAACCTCTGCAGAGAAGGATTGTGTGGTCAACAGTCATCAAGGGCCCCAACAAAGTACGCGTACCAACGGGACACTAACTTCACAGTTGCAGGGCACCGGTGACCCTAAAAATAATGTTTTACCCTGTTCTGTTATAATTGTCTCCTGTTTAATATAATTGTGTTTATTATAGTGTATGTGTTTGTGTTATTTTCTGGGAGTCTCCAACTATCTGGCGAATACGTGGGGATTATCCTGGGCTAGAATTTTCCTCCCAAGCTGCCCTGGCAACCCTGCTAGGAAGGAGTGAGGGGGGTGGAGGCACCGCCAAGTACATCAATCAGAAAGAATAAAATTGAGTGGGTGGCGGGATCCAGAAGAACCCAGACCTATCCATCCAAAACTGAAAGGAGATTGGCTTTAAAAGAAGGTAACCAGGTGGAGAGGGGGCGCTACACAATATTTCATTTTGGCTTTTCCAGGTTTGCTGGTATATGATATTTGAGGACATACTTCTATTAGGGATGTAAACCTTTGTGTACAAAGGTAACTGTGTAACCGCTAAGAATCACAGCAGTTGCACGTGCTGCAGGCTCTGCAGTATAAAGCTTATTTAAGTTTTATACTGCAGAGCCCTCAGCGAAGCCTCCCTGGTAGCTGGGCCTGCAGGGAGGAGGCTTTGTTGCGGCAGTGAAGTTGCGGGCCTGCAAGGGCTGCCAGCCCTGCTCCTGGGGAGGCTTGGGGGTCTGTAGCCTCCTCTTCAGGAGCAGGGCCAGCAACCTTTGCTGGCCCCACTCCTGGGGAGTCAGCCCATAACCTGCAATGGGGGGGTAGCGGGGCTGGGCCAGGCCAGGCCCAGTGGGACCCGTGGGGCTGGAGCAGGCCCCCAGCCCAGGGCAGGCAGGGAACTGCTCCAGCCCCTACCGGTTAACCATTTACATCTCAAATGTCTATGGGTAAAATATTACACCTTCAAATGTATCAAGTATGTGGATGAAGAGATTAGGGAATTGGTTAGGGAATTGTTTTCATATTTTTAGCTGAAAAGTACAGATTTACTACTTTTCATCTCTCCTCATGTCTTTCATTAGGCCAGCATATTAAAAAGGTATCCTGCTGGGCACGCAGAATTTCTGAGTCACTTTAGAAGGGCCTGATTTTTCAGGGGCAGGTATTCAGTTGTATGAGCCCAGGCTCATCAGTTAACCATTTACACTTTTGCATCCTCACTATACACGGGGATCTCTAGCTTTTTCCCGTTCCCAATTTGAAGGGTTGGGGTTTTTTTAACCGTGGAAAAAATACAGTAGAAACCAAGTGACTGTCAAGGAAATTTTGGTACATCATTTTAACTACCTTATTTGAGAAGGAATCCATGTGATTCTACAGGAAGAACTTGAATGCACTGATAAAGCATATCAGCTGTCTCCATATGAATACATATTCGTAGATTAGCTCAAGAAAGATAAATGGCATTGCACATAACTCAGATCTCATGGGGGAGAGGATCTAACATGGCTCTTTATTCTCTCCAAGTTCTGGGTTTTTCTAGGGACAAAGTGGCCCAGCATAATTTGGACATGTATGGAGAGCTAAATTATTGCATCATTCTGAGGCTGCCCTGGAGGTTGGAACCACCTTTGATGTACCTTTCACACCTCTTAGGTGGCTATCTCGCAGCTGTCTTCATAAGTGTCAGGGCCAGTTTAGCAGCTGTCATACTAGAGCTTTTCCAGCCTCTGCTGACCCTGCCCAGCCTGCTCTGTTTTAGACCCAGTTTTCTAAGGCCTTGTCTACAGTGGCATGTTTTGTCACCAAAAACTGCCCTTTGTTGACAAAACAAT